GTCTCGATGATTTGAACTCCGCTCCATCTACGAAACAGTGCGACTATGTTGAAAACGGGTATTCCATTCCGGGAGAAGAATCACTTTTTGAAGTGGACCTGAATTGGTTGTTGGACGTTTCCTTGATGGATGCGCCCACGACTACGCTGCAATTGACGACTCAAGTCCAAGAACTTTTTCAATCCAAAGTATTGCCCACTGTGGTGGGATGTGACTCCAACGGTCGCGTATTACAAGGTCAATATTTGGTAGTCAATGGTTATGTGTGGAGTGTCCGTGAGATTGGCAATTGCGAATTGGGAGCCCCCATGCCTTGTTCGAGACTCTTGGTGAGTTTTGTCTTGTGGACCAAAGAACGACGAGATGCTCGAGCCATGAATACCTTTTGTGTGGCCAATTTTGGATTTGACGGTCTGGTAAATCCCATGGAGACTGGGGATGACATTCGGCAGGTGGATCTAGTGAGTACGGTACTATAACAAAACAAAATCCTACTGTATGCATGAAGGGATGCCTTCAAGAACATGCTGCTACGATACTGATCACACACTTGACTGCAATATTATTCATAACTACTGTATCATACCGGTATGCAACGATACTATTATTTAAAAAAATAGTCTTCTAATCATATACGGTACAGAGGTGGAATGCCTAACATCAGACGTTACAAGAAGCAGAATTCAAAATGTGAGAGCCAATCGTGTGTTGTTGGAGGAAGAGATCGCAAGAGGTGCGCTAGATACGTTCTGATCGTGTCAAAACATCCGACCCATTGGTATTCGGATCGGAGGAACGTCAGAATTATATGCACATATATAATAAGTGCGTGCTTTGATATTGGTTTTCAACGCACCTTGACTCGATTTACTTAAGGTTTTGATTATCGCAGGCCATCGCGGCATTCTCGCATTTTGATCGGCAGGCAGCCCGCACCTCCCTAACTATTTTATTCAAGTACTGCCATTTTATGTGGGTTCTCATCCGTTGCACATCGCCACATTCTCATTTGCCAGTGTGGCAACGTTATGACTCTTCCAAACGCTGGCACGGCTCCGACCCTCCCGCCACTCAAAACTTTTCAAGTAGAGCTATACTACTGTCAGTTTAGCAGATAAGCACCTCTCTTTGTTGATACTCTGAGT